CCCAGCCTGGCTGGCAAACCTGCAGCTGCAGCATCCCCGTGCAGGTTAAGGGCTGTGAGCTGGGCCTCTGGCGCTCCCGTCTGCCCTCCCGTCCCCTCCGCGGCGATGCACACAGCGAGGCCGAGTCCCCCGGGTGGTGTCAAGCTCAGATTTTATTCCTGTACAAATCTGCCTTGTACGCGTCCGCGTTCCCCCCTCTCGCTTACACAGTAAACACGCACACACCAGCACCGCTCTGCTCCGGCCTCTCCTGCCCCTTGCGGGCAGGCTGGCCCAGAGACCCTGCCCCTCGCCCCTTCCCCCGCAGCAGGCCCTCCCCTCCCCGGCGAGCAGCTGGAACGTCCCTTTCAGTCTGTCAGCCCTGGTGGGCCTGTTCCTGGGGCAGGGTTCCAGGAGGGGCGGGGAGAAGGCAGCAGGGACTGTGATGCTCCCCCCGGGCCTCCAAGTCTGACTTGGGACTAGCTCAGCCCCTGGGCCTAATGGGGTTTGTCCCCCTTGCGACCAGATGCCCTGAATGTGGGTAGGGGAGAATAAATTAGAAAAAAGACTAAAAAGGCTCTTGGGACTCCCTTGACAGCCCAGGGCAAGGCCGGTGGGGCCAGCTTCGCGCCCCTGGGGGAGAAAGAGGCTGCTGCCCACCATCCTCGGGGGGCTCATGAACCCCCAAACAAAGCTGCCTCCCAGAGAGCAGGGGCTGGGATGCCCCACAGGCTATGGGGAACGTAAGTTCCGCTCACACGTCCGTCCCTGCTCCCAAGATGTTTTAAGGCACGATGGAACAGGAAGCAGGTAAAACCCTCCCAGGCAGACACCCCCTCCGCCCTGCTGTTCCCAGCAAGAGGTGGCCCCTAGGAAACTGGCGTGGGGACACTGGATGGCGAAAAGCGTCTAGCGTGTCCCCCACATCGCTCAGATGCAGACGAGTCACTCTGGGACCTGGGCTCTGCGTGCAGCCCTGGGAACCGTCCCTGCCACGGGGCTGCTGCAGCCTGGCCAGGGTGCTGCTGATCCGGAATTCACGGCCAGGACTGCGCGAGGCGCCGCACCGCCGGCCGAGCTGGTGCTGAGTCCGTTTCGGAGGGGCAGGGTTTCCATAGTGCAATTCCAGTCGGGGTCCCTCGGCAGCAGGTTCCAAGAGGCGCAGGTGCCCATACAGAGGCACTCCTGGGTCCCAGGCCCCACCTGTCTCTGCCCCAGCTGGCTGCTTGGACTTAACGGGACAGGCAGGCTCCTGTGCCCCTCGGCATTTATTACACACCAAAGAAAGAGCAAAACAAGCTAAAAATCCAGCCCCTGCCCCCAGACGACAGCAGCCGGCCGCGCCGTCCAGCCCCCCGTTGGCCTCTCTCCGGTGTCAGTGCGGCCCGTGGGCTTGCGGCTTCGCTTCTCTTCAGCCTCAGCGGCAAGGGCCCTCGGGCAGGAGCAGTCTCCCTGGCCAGAGCGCTGGGTATTACACACCAAAGAAAGAGCAAAACAAGCTAAAAATCCAGCCCCTGCCCCCAGACGACAGCAGCCGGCCGCGCCGTCCAGCCCCCCGTTGGCCTCTCTCCGGTGTCAGTGCGGCCCGTGGGCTTGCGGCTTCGCTTCTCTTCAGCCTCAGCGGCAAGGGCCCTCGGGCAGGAGCAGTCTCCCTGGCCAGAGCGCTGGGCCTGTCTTAGGGCTGGTTTCTCTTGCCTCCTCTGGGTTTGGTTTAGAA